GGAATAATAAATTTAAAGCTGAACACATGAGAATTCTTAATTAAAAGTTTCGAATAATATTGAAAGCCTCGTCAAGAATTAATAGAATTATTAATTCATCAGAATTTTCAATCAGAAATTTAATATTAATCAAAGTCTCATGAAAGATTAATGGAGTTATTATTTCATTATGACTTTACTGAGCAATATAATTGTTGCAATTAGCTTTTATTCGTTAAACTTGGTGGATCTAAGAGAATCCACGAAAACGAAGATTCAGGATATAAATTTTATAAAATTTTTTAAATAAATTTTCCAAAATGCACGCAATCGTTTTATTTAATCTGTTCTCTATTAAAAATATTCCAATCGTACTATCAAAAGTAGAAATTAAGAAAGAAAGTAATTAGAAATATTCAATTTCGAGGATATTTTTTCGAGATATAAACTCTCGTATATTTCCATGATCGTTGACGCAAGCTAGGAAATGAAATCAATTTTTTCCGGTGCTGGAATTCCATTTTCACGGAGACGACATTACTAATTAGCGGATCGGCAATCAGCAGATTCAAGCTGCCCACGCGTTTCTCTTCAATTAAGCCTGCGAAATGCAGGATTAACGTTTCTGGTATATCGCGCCTGTGCACAATCGATATTCCCTTGAATCTCTGCCAATTCAATAGTCGAGCCGCAGAACGACCGACTCGAGTGAAACATTTTGCGAAATTACACGAAATGTTTTGCAACAGGCAGACAATTCTGTTTCGCCGATGATCATTTGATTCTTATTGCATTCCGAGTCGCGTGCTTCGTCAAATCTTCAATCTACATCGCGATCCATTCATCAGAAATTGAAATTTCAACACTCTCATTTCCCAAATAATCTAATTACATGTTGCTTCTATATTTCAACTCAATTTCAAATCAGAGAACTTAAAACGAGATCTAATCCAACGAAAGTAAGAAATATTTTGCTTCATATTGCACTTGTATTATTAATTACTATAGATTCATACTTCAATTCAATCTCCAATATCACAGTGAAAAATAAGCAAGCAACAAAAGCAATAAACATTATAATAACGAATTTCCCAGTCAACTTCCAACAACCAATATCCATCAACCACCTTCAACCAGGAGAAATCTCCATCTTCGCGCAACGGCGGAGTAAAACAGGGGAAAAATGCAAAACTCTCGGTCCAGCTCCGATCTCTCTTCATCTTCCTTCAAAAAACGATTTCCCGCTGATCCCAGGATATTACCATAAAAACCTCCCAACCCGAATTCCTCGGGCAACCGCGTAAGAGCTTCGGAAATCGTTTACGAGGGCGTTAGATTGAAAACCGCCGGATCGAAGTTCAAGTCCGGTGGCGGGTTTCAAAGTCCGCGGCGGGCAGAATCCCCCAGACGGCCTTGGGAACGATTAATCAGCCCCGGCGAGGCATTATCAATCGCCTTGACCGTGAAGCCCGACGTTTACGCAACGGTTCCGCTGTTTTCGCGGGTCAAAGTCGACCGGTAAACTGGCTAGCCCGCGGAAAGTTTCTATTTTCTGTCCGAACGGCCGGTTCGCGGAACGAAAACAGGCCGTAAACATTCCTCCGTCGAAGCATATAAATAAACCGAGGCAAACAAATGCCGGGCGTTTAAACAATGCGCCCGAATCTGCCGCACAAATCGATTCAACGGCCACCCGGCCGATTATAAATTCCGCCTTGGCCTTAGGCGACCGTCCCGAAGTGCCTCGTGATTTTTGGAACTCCGCTCGAGACTACTGGGCGACTTGCAGACGAGTTTTGCGTGAAAACGATGGGAAAGGAATTTGAATTTTAAATTCGCGCGCAAAAAGTGGCGGAAAGTTCGAATTAAGAATAGGTTTTGAGATATGTTCGGAGAGATGTGAGGATTACGTGTGTTTTGGTTTGTTCTTGGCGGAACTTTTTGCCAGAGAATGTGAAAGAGTGGTTTGAAATAGGAATATTAAGGAGAGATAATTTAAAGGAAGTTGATTTAAATTTTAAACATTCGCGAGCAAAAAGTGGCGGGAAGTTTGACTTTTCTGGGTATGATTGAAGAGAATTGGTTAAATTTTGATTTGATTTTGAACGGAAATGGTGAAAGGTGAAGCGAAAGGAAGGTTGAAATTGTACAAGTAAGTGATTAGCGAGTCACGTGATCGGGTGAAGATGATAAAAAACGACCTGCCTTGACCCGGCACGTGACAGCCGCGAAAATCGCGGTTATTTTGAACTGTCGAAGAGATCGTCGGTGAAATATCGTTTCCTAGAAGAGGATGTTCGAGGCTGCCCGGTCAAAAATCTGCCAGGTTTTCCAAGAATCCGCGAGGCTGCCCGCAGCTATAAATCGACGGTCTCCGGCTATCGATCCTGTCGAGGTCGATTTCCCCTTGTGCGAAAGTTGTTCGAATGTTTATCCCGTTTTCTGGGCGGAGAACCAAATGGAAAAAATATCTCGAAAAAATCATCCAATTAATATGGTACAAGCGGACAATTTCTTTGAAAATTTTGCGTTGCAAAATTAAATGTAGAATAGTTATAATATTCTATTTTAATGTGTTCAATTTATTAATATGTAATATATACAAAAAGAGAAATCGAACCAAAAATTCTTTATTCATTTAGTTTCTAAGGAATACTTTTATTTATTTTCTAATGATTATTTCTATTATTTATTTATTTATTTTCTACTGATTATTTCTATTATTTATTTATTTTCCACTGATTATTTCTATTATTTATTTATTTATTTATTTTCTACTGATTATTTCTATTATCTATTTATTTATTTTCTAATCATTTCTGTATATTATTTATCATTATTACTTATTCTAGAGAAAGGAACACCAGATTTCGAAGTTTTATTTAAAGAAATACCAATGAGGGTATTTGAAAGCACCTTGGACTAGTTGGTAGAAATATTTTCTAAATTTTGCCGAAGGAATTTAGACTTCCTTGAAGAAACTAGAAAACGTCACATGACGTTAAATCAAGATTTCTCGGTAGCCAAGGTCTAGGTGGCAAACTGCCATCGTCTATTACCTAATTCGACGGATTTTTTTTATCGGAAGAAGCTGCATTCCAATAATCTCAATTTCCATCTAATTCTTTTTTACTAAATCATTCGAACTACCTATTTTATATCTTCTACAATTTCAAGTTTAACACTTCTCACTCGAGAGACACCTTTAAGCCATTTAACCCATCGCAGCAATATAAAAATTCAATATTAAATTACGCACAACGTATCAAAACGTCGAAATAAAATAATTCTGTCCCTTAATTTATATAAAATATTCCTTTATGTCAGTTACAACAAATATTCCCCGTATTTCGTCGGAAAATAACGAACATTCCTAGTGGAAAATATTAACGAGTGCAATGGGTTAATATTCTGTGTTTTAACGAGTATTTTCTTTCCACATTTTCATCGCGAAACGAGCTCCAGTAATTTTATGTAATTCTGTCAGCTGCACGTGTAGACTCGCCAATCACGAGTCTGACGTTTTTTCAGATATTTGCTCGGGAATGTCACTCGAACCGTGACGTATCTTCCGGTCGGAATTATCTACGATGACGTAGAATTGCAACAGCGGCGATGATACAATATTTATCTTAAAATCGCGCGACAAATTAATCGCAACGATAATCCACTCGACGATAAATATTCATAGGTCTGGGAAAAGAAGTCCGGTGATCGATCCATCGAAACTGGGACGTCAGCGAAGAATTATTTAAAAAATGTACACACCGAAAATTTCATAGCCACCGGTGTCAGTTTTGTATGGTACACCGTATATAATTTTGAAACAGCATTCAAAATTGTTGTTCCTATTTCCATTGGAAGTTTCCTGCAGCTAATGACGCACAGAGTTGTCTGGAACTCCGTGTTCCCGGAGCTAACTAGTTCGTTTCACTTTTTTGCGCCAGTTTTGCTCCAACGAACCGATGGCTGTGAAGTTTCTTGCAGGAATCATTGAATTTAATTAAAATATGAAGGAGAAATGTGATAGAATATAAAATTGTTGGAGTCTGCATTTCAGTTTGTGAAATATCTCGCGAGAGAAGAGAAAGCTGGGAGGTCAGTCTTAGAATTTAGTAAATTTCGAAATTGGAAATCTTGGGACTTTGATAAACGAAAAATTTTGAAACTAGAAACCTTAGAGCTCCATCGAATTTGAAACAAATTTGGAAGTTAGAAGTGTTAGGACTTAAATTAAAAACTTCGGACGTTTTGAAATTAGAAATCTTAGAACTTCGATAAATTGAAAATTTAACTATTGTGTAATTGGAGATCTTATAACTTTAATAAAGAACGATTTAAAAATTTTTTAGATTAGATATCTCAGAGCTCCAACTGTAAAATTTACTAAATATTGAAATTACAAATTTTACTTGCCACGAGTTAAAGTAAATCTAGACAAAGTACGAAATTTTTACAATAGAATTTTGTATAACATCGATAATTCATAATATTAATACCCTAAAAATCAAACATTAATAATTAATAATTCTTTCCAACAATCTTCCTTTTCTATAAAATTTCCTTTTCCATCAAATTTCTTTATTTATCGAAGCTTGTCCATCAAATCGCCTTTTCCAGCGAACAACGAAACGTCAAAGTATCCCACACGGCTAAAACCATACAAAATACCATAGGCCAAGAGGTTAATCGATCCATCTCTGAAACCATCTAGCCGAAGCTCAAAAGCCCCAGGCTCTATGCACCAAAAGCGACAGCCCGTGACGCAGCGGATGACTTCGAGCGAGCCTCCACTCGCTTTCCCACGCTTTCCTGGCATCAATCTTCCCTAAACACTTCATCTTCGAGTGCTATTAACCACGCCCCACCCCGGACCGACATAAGCCTCCTCGAAAGATCGCCTAGAAACGTTGAACCGGTCTTCCCGCGAACTATTCACGGGAAAACGAGCGTGGGCGCAGGACAAAAAGAAGAAACGACGGAGGAAAATGAGCATAAACGTTGCGACGTGCGGAACTTACCTTCAGGGAGGCCATGTCGGACACAGATCGATGCGTCTGAATGGTTTCCAACTGGTCTAAGCACCAGTCCAGCTCCTCTATCGTCTCCACGGCTAGCTTCTGGTAGTTTTCTTCTGGAAAACGAAAGAAAATTGGGGTGTTAGAATTGTGCTTCGGGCTATTCGTTGAAAAATGAATGGGGTTAGGGGATGTTCTGATGATGGGGATGATTTTCCTCAGATTAGTGAATCTTGAAATTGAAAGTTTGACAATTTTGAGATGTTGAAATTTGGAAGTTTTGGGGTTTTGAAGTTTGGAAGCTTTGAAGTTTTGAAATTTGGAAATTTAGAAGTTTTGAAGTTCTGATGTTTTGAAATTTAGAAGCTTTGTAATTTTGATGTTTTGAAATTTGGGAGCTTTGAAATTTGGAAGTCTTGAAGTTCTGATGTTTTGAAATTTTGAAGCTTTGAAGTTCTGATGTTTCAAGGTTTGGAAGCTTCGAAGTTTTAATGTTTTGAGGTTTGGAAGCTTTGAAGTTCTGATATTTTAAAGTTTGGAAGCGTTGAAGCTTTGAAGTTTTGAAATTTGAAAATTTGGAAGTTTTGAGATACGAAAATCTGGAAATCCTGAAATTTTGGAGCTTCAAAATTGTAATTAATCGAAGCCATAGAGTTCCGAATCACAGATAATTTTGCTCTCCTCACTAACAAGTTACAGAAATAATAATAAAAATTCAGTTCACTTATAAAAAGCTACAAAAATCTATAGTTCAGAAACTCTATTAATTCTATTACATATATTGTAGTATTACACAATAATATCATTTCAAATATCAAAATATCCAATATCGTTATCTACTAATCCATAATGTCATTAGCTCCAACAGACATCTATACAATAAAAAATTCAATAACTTGATAAAATAAAGATCTATGGATGGAAAAAAAGATTCCCGGCTGACTTGTATCGTTTCTGGAAGTGCGCGTAGCTTATTAATCGCGTAATAAGGGTTCTGGAGGATCAGCGACGAGATTTCAAAAGGAAACGAGTATCATTCTGCAAGAGAATCATGCGAGATACGAGGGCGGACGCGTTAATTGAATCTCCGGCACCGTGGAACGGAGGAAAAGATCCCAAGGTAATCTTTACAGAACTCTAGGAAAGGATGATGGCGCTAACAGAATATTTTTGCGCTCCGGGCGACGTCGGATGATTTGTTTAAATGGAAACCTTGCGTGAAAGTTGTCCAGAATTCGCTGGGATCAGATATAAGTAACCTCTGATCTTTTTTAAGCCGGCAAATTAAAAATGCGAGGCTTGATAATTTTAACAATCAGAGTTCCTTTTCATTAAATCTCGCAGAAAATTCGCAGATTGTTAACGGCAATATTAAAATTTCACTTTAAAAGAAATATTAGAAATTGAAGTAATGATAAGAAGAAATTAATAATGTTGATATAGCAACTTAGCAGAGAAATTAATGTAATGGTAACAAAAAGAAAATTAAATAATACATTAGTAATAAATAGAAAAAGAAATTTTAATTACTATATTAATAATGTTATTGGAACTCGGAAACTAAATTGGAAAATATAATAATACAACAAAAAAGTAGAAATTATAATTGGAAAATTAAGAACGTTGGTATGGTAACTTAAAAGAAAAATTAAATAACACTGGAAATTTGAATTCCTATATTAATAATGTTATTGGAACTCGTAAAATAAATTAAAAATATAATAATAAGAAAAGAAGTAGAAATTATAATTGGAAAATTAATAAGGTCGACACGGTAACTTAAAAGAAAAATTAAATAATACACTGGTAACAGATAGAAAAAGAAATTTAAATTTCTATATTAATAATGTTATTGCAACTTCGAAGTGAAATTAAAAAATAGAATAATAACACCAAGAAAATGCGAAGGAAATTAAAATTCAATGATTATTACTGTTAAGTAATTGCGACCTAAGCAAACACTGAAAATAAACAGAACAATGGAGGTTAACGAATTAAATACATCTTCATCCATAGGAAGCTGCTGTCCAACTGGGGCTCGATAAATAAGTCGGAAGGATGTTATCGACAGAATAATTCTTTGTACACCGATCGACTTCTCTCTTTCTGCTAAAGCGCAGCTCCCGTCGCTGGTGCAGGATAAGTGTAGATTATTCGATGGAGAGTCCATCGAGTGGCACGATTCAAATTTTTTTAATGAACGCAACTCACTCGCGGGCGATCGGCGAGCGGGAAAGGTCAAAAGATTCCGGCTCAATAGGAAAACTTATTAGAGCGACGAGGAGATTATCAGGAGTGGGCGAAAGTAAAAGAAAATATTAAACCTTGCGGAAGATGGAAGGTTGCACAAAAGTGAGCCGGGAAAGAACGTTCCGAACGAGAAACAAGAAAAGAGAGGCGTGATTGACGTCATAATATTCTCGGACACGTGGCTTCCAGATGAACGAATGATACAAAGATGCGCGATCGCGTTAATTTTGCAGAGTAAAACTGGGAAACAACGCTATGTCAACTTCAAAATGTACGAGATTTAATAAAAAAGGAATTATTTAAGTAAGTTAAGTTTAAAAGATATTAACTTTACTTGAGATATTATTAAATTAATTTAAGATGTTATTGAATTTTAATATTATTAATGTTAATGTAAAATATATTGAGTTGAATATTAATATTAACTGTGCACTCGGATGTCATGCTGGTGACAAGTTTGTTATAGAACGTTGGAAATTGTTTGGAAAAGTAGCACACTTTGAATGATTATGAAAATTAAATGTTATAATAATAATAATAAATAGGGTAAATATAAAACGTTGAATTCTACCATTGTAAATGATTCCTTAAAAATAAATGCAAGTTTACGTCTAATGAACATTGAAAATAAATTGAGTGCATAGGGTTAATAAATAATATGGAATAAATTGAATTGAATATTAATGTTACTATGAAATAAATTCAATTGAATATTAATATTAATATCAAATAAATTCAATTGAATATTAATATGAATATAAAATAAATTCAGTTGAATATTAATATGAAGATAAAATAAATTCAATTAATAACAGGAAACATTCAAATTCTGCAGAATTTTATTTCAATATTAAAATGCAGTTGTAAGAGGAACCGAATGAACTATGAATGAAAATGAAGGAGGAAGGCCGAGTGATTATTTTGTTACGGTTTTGTAGATTAAACATTTCTTTTTCTCTAAAATTCAATTGCAAGGTTGGAAGCTTACCTCCTGGCGCCAAAATCCTGGGCTGCGGTGTGCTGCTGCCCTGCGCGCTGCTACTCCTTCGTGATCTGGAAAAGAAATTCAAATCAGAAAGGGAAATGCTTTCCCCGAGGCAATATATTTCGAAGACAGTATAACTTATCCTTCACATCGAAAAATAAACTTTTGAAACTAAAATTCAATGTAATCTACATATTTTCGTGTCGTATCACAAATGTTTAAATTGTCTGTTGGATCTGAGTTCCTTGGAACTTAAAATGAGACGACACTGAAAATTCTAAATTTATTAATCATTCAATTCAATCGATTAATGAAGAAACTGCGATTACGATAATCAAACTTACTAATAAACTATGGAATTTAATATATCTTTTCTAAATCAGATGTCAAAAGTAATATTTATTCACATTTCTATTTTATTCCTACTAAATATGACTATATTTAAAATATGAAAAACCACTGTCTTCGATAAAAATATAATTGAATGGAAATTACAGTTTACTTAATTACTTACTTGTTTGTGGGTACATTAGTGAGCGCCGCGAAGTTGTACCTGACCGAGCGCAAGGACGCAAGAATCTGCGCGAAAGGCGTGACGATGAGGTCTTCGCCATGGCTGCAAATAAAAGAGAGAAAGTTAGTGAATCGATCTTAATTACTCTCAGAAATTCAACAGGCGTAGGGGTTGACAAACTGGCGAGCAGTTTGGCAGGAGGGGCGGACTGGCGAAGGGGTGGTGGCAGGGTGTTTCAGATTGCAACGAACTTTGTCTACTTGATGTTTCGAAAGCTGCCCTCTACCGACATGCAAGCGTGGCGTTTCAAAGTTGCATACTGTACACCGTCCAGTGTCAATAGTATCATTAAAAATGCATACTGACTCGAAAGGAATTTTCAATGAGTTGCAAATGTTTTGTTGGTTTGTACGCTGAATGTATTTGCAGTAGAACGATCGATGATATATTTGTATAATTGTATAGAACGCGAGAAATCCATTTACTGCGCTTGCGTGGACGCGGTGGAGGAGAATAGCCCCGCCCAGTTAACAGAAGTTCTCAAACGTAACTTCTTCTTTTAATTCAATTTATTAATGGAGATTGTAAGATATTTTGGAAAGTTTCCTTTTGTTATTTTGTGGTAGAGTGGTTGTCAAAGAGAATATATACTTGTCAATGAGAACAGTAACTGTCAAAAAGAATGATGGATGTCTAAGGGAATACTGATTGCCAAAGAGAACAGTGTTTGTTAAAGAAAACAGAGTTTGTTGAAAAAAACAGTGGTCGTCAAAGGGAATAATAATTGTGAATGAGAACAGCAACTGTCAGAAAGAACAGTGGATGTCAAATGGAATACAGACTGTCAAAGAGAACAGTGTTTGTTAAATAAAACAGTGATTGTCAAAGAAAGCAATGGTTGTCAAAGGGAATAATAATTGTGAACGAGAACAGTACCTGTCAAAAAGAATAATGGATGTCAAAGGAAACAATGATTGTCAAAAAGAACAGTGGTTGTCAAATAGAACAGGGATTCTCAAGAGAAACAATGACGACGAACAAACCAGTGGTTCTCAAACAATACAAATAATTTAAACAGACATATCTGTGCTGTATAATAAGACAAGTAATCTGTCGAACAAGCTGAACGAAACTTCACGTGATTGTCATACCTGCTATTAAATGCTCTACCAAATTGTTCATCAATAATTCAGTCATCCTCGAGATTCTCGTACTCGACTCTTAACAAACCTAAATCAGGCGACTCGTTAAAAATAATTTATGAAGAAAATAATCCACGTACAGGACAGGGACGGATTATCGAAATTTATTCAATCCACGATTCCAGGCTAATCAATGTCATCGTCTGATACATTATCGGGAATCTCGAGGGCTATTTGTAATTTAATCTTAATTGCGGGAGGGTTCGCCCCATGGAATTCGATATCACAAAGATTCCTTCGAACGAGGAAAATTTAATATAGCACGAGAACACGTCCAGCCGATCAAAGGAATGTCCACGCGCGAGAAAACAGTTCGACGTAACGCGACGTTGACGTGACCCCTAATTAACAAAACACGCCGCGAACGGTCACGGCGTTCTAATTAACAAAATGTAATTAGAGGAACTCGCGAACCGAATGAATTCACTCTTTGAGCGGCGAACTTTCATATCGAACTTCCTAGCAAGATGACACACGTTAAAAAGTCAACACGACGGTACCTACCAATTAATTACAGAATCAATCGTAACGGTGATTACCTCGAATTTAATCAATTACACTGATATTCCCCCGGAAACTCCCAAAGCGAAATCGTTTGCTCAAGCGTCGATTTCAGTGGAATTTAATTAAATTAAACAAATTCAATTTCGAAGTTTAAATTCTCGGTATATTCCCGTCGGTTTTCGCGTTTGCAAAATGGCGTCGACAGGTACCGAACCGGAGAGAATAATTTTAAAATTCGCTCGCACGGGAACGAATATAGAATTATCGAAATAATGGGCTAATGAATTTATCGCGTAACGTTGAAAATTTTTGCAGAAAACGCTGATTTAATATTTTTTTTTTGTTTTTCATTAATTCGCCAGTTATCGGATTACACATTTGTTTCTCGAGTAATCAACGCTCTCGGCCCGGATTTTCCATTTCCACCGTCGAGTTTGGGTTTCCGTTTGCATTGTCGACGTTATAATATCAAGAGATCGCTCTCAGAGATTCACTTTAATCAGATCACACGCTCCCTCAGAGCGTGATCAATGATTTCACGAGGTTCCGGAAAATTCTCATAAGGTCACAGGTCGAAGTGACCGTTTACGGGTCACCTGTGCGACGCTAATCGACACATTATCCTAACGCTGCCATTGATATTCACGGATTAATTAACCTGGCCCCCGTTAATTGGAGATTCGCGTTGCCATTAATACCACAACGTACGCTGCACCCGAAAATTCCCATCGATCATCGTCTAATGGCCGCTGACAACATTACAGTCGAACAGTGCTTTGCACTAGGATAATTGAAGATAAAATTATTGCATTTTATATATTTATTAAATTCTAATAAATGGAGGTATAATTAGTTTTATTATTATTAAGTCACAATTATTATTATTATTATTGTTGTTGTTGTTGTTAAGTTACATTGAGCATTACTATTGATATCATCATTATTATTATTGTTGTTGTTAAGTTATACTTAATATTAGTATTGCTGTCATCATCATTATTATTATTACTATTATTGTTAAGTTACACTTAGTATTACTACTATTATCATCATTACGTTTCATTTCTATTGTTACGAGTTCCAAATACCATTTTAATTTAAAATTCATTACTCTCGTTCAAAGAAAAAATATAATTTTCCTTGATAAATGATATTTGAAGTAATTCATTTCTACAATCCTTGACTTCCTATAATTTCTGCAATCCCCGATTTTTCGAAAACTAATTTAATCTGATTCTCGTTTAATCGAAATCGATATTCTATATGCAATTTAATTGATAGTATTATTTTTTTCTCTCCGTTTTTCGCCGTTATCGTTGGAAGTTTCGATTGAAAATAATACAAGCGAGAATTATTTTCACGTATCCTTCACTTTTGTTGCGCCGGCTGAGCGCGACATTCCGCGGATTTTTCGGGTTGCAACGCCGAGCGGAAGAATTAAAGAATTATACGGCAAAATCGCTCCAGAATCGAGCTGCACGATTGCTTTCGTCGAAACAGAGACACGTACGTCCCATTAAAACCGCGAACAGGGAATTGCGATTCGCCCGACGGGAAAACGAATTGGAAATGGAACGCTGTGCAAGCCAGCTTGTGAAAAAAGGTCCGCTTTCTCTTATTGTTTGGAACGCTAACTTCCCTCTAATAGTTTCGGCAATCGAAAACGCTTAACTACGGGAACCATTTGGAACTTCAGATAAATTGTTCAATTAACGTCGAAAGTACAAAGTGAATTAAATGAAATACTTCTTTCATGTGATATTAACATAAGAGTGAAATGGAATTTAAGTCTTTTAACGTTGGAAGGGAATAATGAAAGGTAAAATTGCATATACCTTTAATATTATACTAAAACAATGAAAGATTACATTAAATGTTTCTTTAACGCGACACTAAAGTAAAACTGCAATTGAATTTAATATTTTCTTAAGCTTAAACTGAAACAATAAAAGCTAAAATTGAATATACCTTTAATATTACGATAAAATAATGAAAGGTGAAATTCGAAGTTTCCTAACGCGACACTGAAATCAAATTAAACAGTCCTCAAATGTTAAAATGAAATAATAAAAAATTAAACTGAATATTTCTTTAATATTAAACTACATTAAAAAATTACAAATAATATATTTCTTCAATATTCAAATAAAATCTCAGAAAATTACATGAAACACTCATTTCACGTGAAATGAAAGGAAGATCAAGTGCTTCTGATGAAAACTGAAATTTGAAAAATATAAAATCATTTTTACCACTTTGTTAAGGTAGCAAAATTGTCTGAGGTGATAGGATGATTTCGCAATGGAAACAATTTCCCGAGAGTCGTTCATCTCGAGATTTCCTTAAACTGAACTCCCTTTCACGTTTCGCGCGGCAAGGTTTCCCATTGAAATCGCGGTCCCTTTGTCCCCGGGACAGGGGACGGAAATGAATGGCTGCCGGTGACGCGGACGGAAGTGTACCATTACAAATTAAAGAAAAGCCCGAATATGATTGACGCACGAGCAACGTCATCGAGGTTGCGCAAAGCGGGATCCGTTCGCGGGAATTTAGCATTCACCTGGCGAGACCCGGCGGCCGCAAAAATGGCGGAGCGAACTTCGACGCGGCGCCGGGAGAATTTCAATCTACTCCCGTTCTACTTTCACGGCGAAATTTATTTCCCGTTCCATGTGAGAGTCGGATTCAGAGAAATTCGGGCGGAAGATTAAACGAGAATTGAAATTTTTTCAAATTCGTGAGTGTCAAATGTTTGATGGTCGATGTACGAATAGCTAGATTTTCAGCGTATTATGTTTTAATTATGGTATTATAATCTGTTCGGCTGTATTTACTATTTAAATAAATCTATTCCGTTCGCTTCGTATATTCCCTGAATAAATCATTCGTAAACGAACCGGATTTAATAAATTATTTGAAGAAATTGGGAGATATTTGATCGGAGCAGTAGCAAATTTAATAACACAACACTGAGAGATATTGAAAAATATTTTTGTGACGAGTATTGTTAAAACTGGAACTATTAAATAATTTAAATAAGGATAAGAAAAATTTCAATTTGAATAATCATTTGTATAAATTTATAAATTCTTATACATTATATTATTATTATTTTATTATCGCATTAGTATTAAATTTGCTAAAATTCCAGACATTAATATTGATAACCTAAACATTATCAGTAAATATTTATTAAACCGTAATTCAATAAATACTGTAATTATATCGAATCAATTATTATTATATTCTCACTACATTATTATTATTATATTATTATTGATTAATTTTATCCACTCCAATCAGATTTATAATAATTCTAATATTTAAAATAATCTTCAGTTTATTATACAAAGATTAATCTTTCCGAATTATTACCCATCCCCAAGGATTTCCACTCAAATCGCAAATACTCGATTCAGCAGTCGCAACCCCGCCGGGAAATTGCGTTTCAAGGCTGCATCGATTCGCCACCGAAAAAAAACAAAAATTAAGTGCCCTCTGAATCCCCGTCTAACGAAAGGGTAATCATGAAATTGGCTGCAATTTCCTTTCCATTCAGAGGGGATTGAATATCAAATTTCTTTTTCCCCATTCCCGTTTGTCGTTCGACTGGAGCCCTTGGAATTGTTGATAGGATCGTCAACGAACACCGTAATACCGGGGAATAAATTTTAATTAAACGCCCCGGGGCCTGCGTACGGTTGTTTCACGCAGTTTCGTCACACCTTTAATTCTGTTTGTTTCTCGGCAGGTTGGAACTTAACGTTAAACAAACATTATTATGACTATTGTAATAACTTCAAATGTATTGCATTAAGAAACATAATAATAAGTAACGTGTATGTAGTTTGAATATTTAAATGTGACAAGTGTAATAATTTATGTAATGTCCATGAACATAAATAATATTTTCTGCTAATAGGAAATATATTATATTAAGGAAGACAATAATAAGTAATATATATGTAATTTAAATATTTAAATGTAACAAATATAATAATTTGAGTGGTGAATATAAATAAAATTCTCTGTTAATAGAAGATCCCACGAAAATGGTGTTGTGAACATTTTTTGCAGTAGGGCTGAGCAAGAAAAGACGACATTACTTATGGGATGACATAATGGTTTCCCTGGGAAACTGCAAATGAGCTTCTGGCCGTTCTCCAGAACGCGCACTTATTTTCCCTACGGAAACTCGGTTTGATTCATTACTAGGATGCGTCCAACCGATAAACACGCGGGTTAATAAATGTCCGAGCCATCTATGAATGAGTCCCTTGAATGTCGGCCAATTATTCTTGGTAGTTGCGAGATATTTTGCGCTCGGTTTTGAAGGGAGCTAAAAGTCATTCATCAATTTCCCAATGAATCAGAATCTCTTAAATTAAACCTGTGCGCGTCAATGTCGAAATGAAATTCTCTATATTCTGTAAAAAACATTTTTGTCCGTGGGCAGAGAAGATATGACTTTTATCAATTATTACGTAGTAATCCGGTGTTCGATAATATCAACTGATTAATTAATCGAGAGGCATCCCAGATTGCAATCCAACTATTTAAGCATCGTCCATCAATGTTTTATCAATCGTGATTAACAATCAACTAGCACTCGTTAACACTCGACGCATCGATCTCGATCTGATCGAGAACGAGCGACTAAAAAAAGAAACGCCAGAAAGCCTCATTAATCAATGTTAAAAATATTCGACAAGATTCTTATCTCTTAAAATATTATACAATCCCTAATAAAATAAAGGAGTTTCCCTCAAATTGTAATTATAAATAAATCACTTTACAATCCTTCAGAATTCTAATCACCAGACTATCAATTACCAAAAGCTATTATCAAACGGAACCACGTGAATGCATTATTATTATTCAATTGAAGTGCCCTCTAATATCATCACAAATGAATATCCAATTACTTTCGCCTGTACCCTTAAATCAATAATAAATCTCACGTAACAATAAAAATGAATAAAATGTAATATAAATATGAAATAAATATAATACAATAAATATAAAAATAAATAAATATAAAATATAAAATGAATATAATATAATAAATATAAAAATAAATAAAATTCAAAATCAATCAAAAAAATCTCATCTCCAGTCAATCACCTATCCCCTAAATCCCGAACTACCAAAAGCCTACTCGAAATAAAACAAACACGAACAACTGCCTGAAATCTGAACAGAGCAGTTCCCAGGTACCCCAGCATCAAACGAATCCTCGTTAGACCCAATTCATCGCGCCCTGGGTGGTCTCTAGTACCCCTGATGACTGCTAAACTGTCCAGCAACCTCAGCCTGACCATCAACCTCGATTCGACACCCTAAACGAGCGTCCAACTGATCGCCGTCCACTTACAAGTCTCTCTTCGGCGGCGAATCGGTGTCTTGGTCCCAGAAGAGCGGCTTCCTGGAGGTCCTCCCACGCAGCGCGGAGGCGGACTGCGTCCTGGGTAACCCGCCGGAATTGCTGGCGCCGCCGGTGCACAGCGACGGCGAGCTGGTGCCGCCATCACACCTCTTTAGCCCGACGCTGGAGCCAGACATCATTAGACTGGCCTGTTCCTCGCTCCCCTGCACATTTCACTAGCCCCCACCTACTCAGCCCTTCATTTTCTGCCACATTTCTGATCGGGGACACCGGTGAGCTTCTGTATCAGCTGGGACTTAGCAGAGATTCATGAAGAGCAGCTTGCTGGCGAGTGGTCAACGCGTCTTCTAACGCTGATTGGAACGCTGCCCTTGTGATTTCGGTGGAGGCTGGTTTTCAGAAACCTGCTGGTCGTAATTTAGAGAATTCGCTTGTTGAGCTAGAATCTTAGAAGTTGATAGAAGCTGATTGGAACACTGTTCTTGAGATTTCGATGCAGGCTGGTTTTGAGGATCCCGCTGATTGTAATTTAGAGGATATGCTTGTTGAGCTAGAACCTTAGAAGTTGATAGAAGCTGATTGGAACATTGTTCTTGCGATTCTGGAGGCTAGTTTAGAAGATCCTGATCTCTGTCGTTTAGGGGATATCTGTAGAGCTAGAATCTCCGAAGATACTTCCTTCTTTAGAGCTGGTTGGAACAGAGATTCGAATTTTGGAAGTGAATAGAAGATACTGTTTCCTTGATGACTACAAGTCGTAGATAAATTGGGAACTGTTCTTTTTCTGTTACGAAGTAGTTACAGCTGATGAGTTCACTGCGTTTGCCTAGGGTGCTATATTTGGACTAGATAGGGGACTTAGGTCTTGAGAGCTAGATCACTAATTTCTTCCTAGTAATGTCCAGTACTTCAGTGAATCCTGGTCTTCGTAGAATTGACTGGGTCACTACGTGGAATTCTTCAAAGGATCCAGGTCAAACACCATTTAGCTCCGCTGGGTTCTCAAATGGACTAATTCGGAAGATCCGTGTCTTAGAACAATGACTTCGAGTGATAGAGAATGCTTCTTATTAGGTAGGCTAGCTTAGGGGATCCAGGTCGTCATTGAATTGGTAGTATCACGAGAATGCCAATTCATCAAATAGTTTAGATGTTCCAGATCTTTGTAGATGCTTTTAAATATTGGAAGCTTCTATACTCTTTTTGGCTAGAGTGGCCAGGTATTCTAGACACTTTTAAGCTTGGAAACTCGACGCTGACAAGGTATACCGTCTCTCCATAGCTGACTCCACTTATCCAAGCCAACTTAGGTCGTGTTCTCTTCGAGTGCACCGTGGGAGGCTACTTTAGGCGATCCAAGCACCCGCGGAGCAAAAACATCATCCCTGGAAACTGGAGAAGTACTCAAGGCGTCTAAGTTTCCTCGCCCATCAAACTCTAGCTAACTGGAGAAGTTAGAGGATGATGGAAGAGAGTTCTAAGGACAGTTGAGCAAGTCCTGATGGAAGACACTCTGGCCTCATGTGCGCTGGCACCACTGGCAGTCAGCTCAGTGATTCATTTCCTCTAAACTGCTTGTCCTCACTCTAACAGATTGCACTGGAGATCACACTCATTGCCACTGATGATTCCAGGTATAGGGTACACTGAACACTGTCATCTTCGTCGAACCATTGGCACACTAATCACAGAATACCACGATTCAACGTTTAGAAATATTCAACTGATTCAGACGAACTTATGAGCTGTTCAAATTGATATTAATCTTCAACTACAATTATCAAACCATTCAACATGATCAATCTTAGATGTCCTCATCAGCAATTAGCAAATAGTACCGTCTACCTTAGAAGTTATTTAACAAATTTATAGTCTACGTTCTAAAATATAACTCGATCAAAATTTAAGTCCATGCTTTTTGCCCTAGAAAATTGATAACAAATTGCAAATGGAATTTTCAGTAGCTCCAGAATTCACTGGAACGTCCCGGCCACACAGTCATAATCTATTTTGTTAAATATAACTCGATCAAAATTGAAACGAACGTTTTTTGCCCCAGAAAATTTATAACAAACTGCAAATAGAATTTTCAGTAGCTGCAGCGTTCACTGGAATACCCAGTCATAATCTATGTTATAAATAGATTGCGAATTTTTATGCATTGGTGGGAAATTTGGAAGTGCAACATTGCACAGTGCTTTTTACATTTGTTAGGAAAAACCATTGTCCACTTTGCATGAAGATCCGCGGACTAGTTAGAAAATATAACTCGATCAAAATTCAAGCGAATGTTTCTGCCCTAGAAAATTTCTAACAAATTGCAAATGGAATTCCCAGTAGTTTCAGCGTTCACTGGAACGTCCCAGGCACCCAGTACACGACGATCCCCTTGTCATCCGAAGCCCAACAGCGAGTCAATGATAACGAGACGCCCGATTTTTGTTTACATGCTTGCCTAGCCCCCATTAGAACGATTGAATTTCAAAGGGACTGGTTCTTATCCGGCTGTAATGTGCGCGTGGGCGTCGCGTCGCAGCCGTAAATCACGGATCGCGGCAAACAATCGAAGCGACACCGTTGCAGCATCGTCGCTCGGATTTCAGACTGCCCCTGGAATTGCCGCTGCTCGACGAGCAGCCTGAATAACCATCTGCTAGGACCACGCACGACCGGAAACGAAGCAATTTCGGATCTATTCGGACGAGATCACAGAACGCGGACTTCTGGGAAGAAAGTGAATATTGTCATGGATCCTGTGTAAATCTTTGGAGATTCCAGCAATTAAATATTTGTGTTTTGTATTTTCATCTCATTTTTTACTATTAGCGTTATATTCAAAATTTTCCAATAGAATTATTAAAAAATATTTGGAATTTGGAACGGAATTCTGTTCGACAGTTTTCTATACAATTCCATAGAATCTTCTATAGAAGATTCAAGCGTTTAAATATTTGTGTTTTGCATTTTCTTTATCCCACTTTTTTACTATTATTGTTATTCTAATGTTTCCGTTCAAAATGTTTTGATAGAATTATTTAAAAAGTCCAAAAGTTTTGCTCTACAATTATATATTCAAAACCTATTTATTTTAACGTATTACAGAAAAATATTCGAGAATTTCGTTACTGTAGTCAAGAATTTGAATCAATGATTTAATAAATAAGGATTATTACAGCATTTTCTTTCAAATCTTCATTATATAATTTCTTTCAAGCATTTATTCGATAATTTTATTAAAGAACTTTCCTCCAGAATTGAAGTATTAGCAGGGAATGATAGAATTTTAATGGAAATGGTAGATTAAGGTGCCGTTTAAGAGACAAAGGGCTAGGATCCGTTCGGTTCCATGAATATTAGATGAACTTTCGAGCTAAGGGTCAATCCTTAAGAGACGCTGATTGATCGAATTGAACGGGTCCGATGTTTTATTTATAATGAAGACCCGGCGTTGCCCTCCACGATGGAGCAGCGAGGTTGAGATAGGACAATGGGGGATCAATTTCCCTGTAGCCCATTAAACGAACTGGGACAAGTAGCAACTCCACCAAATGAAACTAATTAGGCTAGACCATCGTGCTCGTTGGCATCGCGTCTCTTTATCTTGGAACTTAAACGACCAGCTGACACTAAAGTGGGACGTAAGTTTTGGCGTCTGCTCAACGATCAAAGGCTTCCGAGATTTATCGATGGAATTCCAGTGATCGAAAATGGTCGAACTTCTCGTGGATAATTTATAAACTACCTGAAGATCTTCGCTGATGATGTATGAATGAATTCAGTGTCTACAATGCGAAGAAACATTGAACAATGATTTTAGAAAAATTCTGCAATTATTATATAGTTTTCCAGGTATGGGGAATTTTTGGAAGATTCTTAAATGAATTCAAATTTCTTTTAATAAACAATTCAGAAACAATCTTAAGAACATTCCTGTAATAATTAAATAATTTTCCAGATACAAAGAATTTTCGAAAGATTCTTAAATTCAAATTTCTTTTAACAAACAATTCAGAAACAATCCTAAGAACAGTCCTGCAATTATGAAACAATTTTCTATAGATAGAAATTATTCGAATAACTTCCGAATCAAAAATTATACAACAACTATGTTCGATATTCATAGAATATTTTTCTGTATTTAAAACTATATCGTCTAAAAATATTTGTCGGCTCGGAAGAACAAATCTAGAGGTTTCGTAATGATTAAACGGTTTCACGATAGTATCAATCTTCTTGAGCGGCTCCGAGACTTGTGTTTACATGTCGGTTTTCTTCGTGTAATGGCTGATTTTTATTCATTATTCCGCGCGTTGTTATGCAGATAGCGATGCCCGGTATTCTGGTAACTGGTTACCACGGAATTATCGTGCGCGGATTAACCGGCGCAAGGATTCTCAAGGAAAACGGGTATGCTAACGCGTTGTCTCGCAAGGAACTGCAACGGCAGACTGTTATCTGGCTGGCTGCTGCAGGGATTCTGGAGAGGATCGAGCGAGGAAGAAACGTGCGAGGTTCATTGTCTCCGGACGAATGATCTCGATTTCCTTTTAAGAATTCCTTTGCGCTCTGTGCTACAATTTCTTTAAACCGTGAAGAATACAATAAAGAACTATTAGGAAAAATTGAATCTTGTGACAGAAAGATTATTTAATCACTACTGGACTGTATATTTTTTCATTCACATTCATACACCATTAATGATTTTTTTAGTTAATAGAGAATTTAGGAAATACTTTTTTTTAGTCAAGAATCAATCAACTTTTACATTGAGACTGTAATTATATTAAAATATAGAAATTTAGGCGTTAATAATAAATATTGAGTATTAACATTTGTTTCCTTTGAGTGTTAATTAAAGGAACTATGCAGTCATCGACTGTTCAACATTGTTATAAATAGATTCATAATTATGTGATTAAATTCTTTTTAATTTTCAAAGTATTAGCAAAAGAAGAAAAATGTTTGATTTATTGCAAGATTTCAAATTAAATTAGATTATGAGATGGAGAAATAGTATTTTTCAAAGGTTAAACTCAAAGTTATCAGTTATTGAGAGTTCCTTTGCAGTTGATCGAGATTTGAGAAAAAAGGAGTGCAGATTCCCTGGACAGATCGTTTGAAGCGTGGTTGATTACAAAATCATCTCGTAACACATTTCCTTATGCGCTGAAGGAAACGCGGGGAGAAGGTTGACCTTTCCAGCAATCGAAGACTGATGCAATCCAAGAGGAATCCTCTCCAACTCTTTTTACGAACGTTCCAGCGGGTCTATAAATACTTTCGCATCGTTTCCGGTCACTGAGGAGGTACTGACACGATACTTCCGATTGCTCTTGGTAATTTCTTTGTTCCACAGTTTTGAAATGTATTTTGAAATGAATGTTCTACGCGACCGCAGGACTTGGTGGACTTTAAATCATCCATAGGGTGAAAGAAGAGGAAACAGAATGTCTTTCTGCAATTAAAGTTGCGATGCTGTTATAAAGTTCGTGACAGTTTGAACATTGGAGTTTATGGAGTTTCGCAATGGTGAATTTTGAAGAATAGAAAGCTCGAACGTTGAAATTTTGGAATTTTTAATTATTTGAGTGCTTGAATGTTTCAGTCTTTGAATGTTTGAGTCTTTGAATCTTTGAATCTTTGAGTCTTTGAGTCCTTGAATCTTTGAATACTTAAATCTTAGAATTTTTGTGTTTGAATCTTTGAGTTTTTAAATCTTAGAATTTTAAGGCTTTTAATCTTCGAGTCCTTGAATCTTTAAATCATTAAATCTTTGAATCGTTGAATCTTTAAATCCTTAAGTCTTTCATTCCTTTAACCCTTAAATATTTGAATCTCGGAATCATTAAAGTTTCAAACAGTTTTTCACATAGAACTCACTGAATTTTCAAACTTTTTAATCGTAAACCTCTAGAATTACTCAGAAATATCAAATTCTAAAAATGTCTGAATTCTCGAACTTATGAATTTTAAACTGTCAAATATTTGAATACCCAAACCTTGAATTTTTTCAACGTCTAAATCTATATACTCAGTGAATTTGAAGTATCCGCTGGCTTAATCTCGGAGAATGTTAAAATCGTTGATTACCCAACTCCTCAAACATCCGAACACGAAGTTAATTACATATGGGAACTTCAGATAGATTTCCAACTGCTGTATCGCGTATTCTTGGCCAACCGGGCGTCTTACAAGACGGTGCGCACTTTATGTAACAATAAACGTCGCTTCTTCGTTGATATATGTCATCGGTAGAGCCAAACGAAACTACACAAGTGTAGTGTTTACATAATAACGGGCGTCTATTAGTGTTTTAGGGTCAACACAGGACTGGTACATTTGTCTTCGCAGACAGCTTCTGTCGGAAATGAATCACGATCTTCCAGGAAGTACGATCTTTCACCGTGTATTACATAAATTAACGCTAATCACATTGCATTCGTATAATTATGACACAACTGCACAAAACTGCATTCGAAATGCAACATTTCTAAATGCAAAATCACCTGAGACAATATTTAACAACAAAGAATATTTTCTAACTTAATTTTACAATCCCATTTAAAATTTTTAAAAAATACTGATTAAACAAGTATTAGAAACTTTATAATTTAAATAAATACTAATCTATTTCTACGTTAGAATATTTAATTTCATTTCTCAAGTGTTTATGGTAGGATA